ATGATATAGGAAACTATTGGTGGTTCTTAAAGAGTTAAGTAATGGTTTGTAAACATAAGAAATGGGACCTAAGGGGTTAAACAATTGCAATTGAAATTATGAATTTTATTTTCAGCTGTTACAATCGTCCCTTTACTTATTGTTACAATCGTCCCCAAGACGCCATTTCAGCTTCATTTGTTAAAAACTATGCTAGTTAATTAACAAAACTAATCTTTTTTCTCTTGAAATGTTAATTAAGGCGCCCACTTACATATTCGGTTAATAATTTTTATTTGCTTAAACAAAATTACTTTGCTACAGTATAATATTCTAATACCAGAAAAAGTACTTACGTAGCGTGAAAATATCTTTTGTGATGTAACTCTTTCAAAAGTACATAAAAATGGTTGCCAGCAGGGGTGTACATGTAGATTTATTAAATACACCTTGTGCGCCACCTAGGAACCAAATCTAGAACCCGACACTCGAAATTTTTGCTCTGTTACAATGGTACCCTGTTACGATTGACCCCACTCTCCCCTACAGCTTTATTGATTTTACGTGACTGAAACCGATTTGTTTACATTCGTGTGTCAATCGGTTAAATTAGACTATATATTATATAAAGATAGAATACTCATTCTATAGGTTATTATATTCTAATAATTAGACCAAATTAGTAGAAGCACTGTAGTTTTTTAATAATTACATGTTTTGCAATACTTTTATATTTAGACATACAAGTAATGGGTTTTCATTCAGAATTTTTATATACTTTTTATTTGCATTTATCTTTAACGTATTGCATTACAATGTTAACCCATTGACATACGAATGTAAACAACTGATTCAATCGCATAAAAACAATACTGCTGTATAGAGTATCACCTGATAGTTATGATTTTACATAGAATCTTATAGTACGTCTAATAATTTGTCCAAGGACTGTATTAACAGCAGCAATTTAAAACGTACTTTGTTGCCAAGTGAATTTCATGTTGATTATTAATAAATAATAATTGCTGAAGAAGGACATAACGATTGACATATAAATATTTGTTAATACCGAGTACATGAATTTTTCCCCAACTATGTCTGTAAGGAGTGTTAATTTTAAAATCTATTTACAGTAAATATAAGATACTAGCTTCATCAATAAAACTCGAAACACTCACAGACATAAAATGGCAAAAATGAAAATATAATTAGTGCTCAAAAATAAATAAATATAAACTCAAAGCCATTTTGTTTCTCCTCCACAAAAAAAGAACGGACAAGATCAAAAAAGGTAAACAAACTGTTACCATAGCAACTTAATTTTAAGAACTAGATCAAAGTTAAAAAGTAAGCAGACGATAAGTCTCAACCAACATTCTTCACCAAAAAATAAGACTGAATGAGCAAACTCCAAATTAGTTTCAAAAATGCCGTCTACTTTTTCTTTAACCTATCTTGTTGTACTTCACATAATTATTATTTCTGTTACCCTCTGGTATTGATGACTCTGTTAAAAGTATTAGATTTTATTTACTTGTCACTTGAATACGTGGTTAGAATTTTGTATCATCGGTTGCTATGGGGATATTATAGAACAAATTTTTGTGTAAAATGAATGTTTCTCGCTTTTTGTAAAACGGAGTCAGAATAATTTTTAATTAGTTACATAGTAGTAATTAGTAGATGAAACAGTCAGAAATAACAAGTTCAATGAGGACCCTCCATTTAAGTAGGCGTGTTCAAATCGAAGTGGGTGGGTCTGTCCAGTCTGTCTACGTAAGCATGTTCCTATCACGCCCGGGTCACCCATGTAGCGAGAGTAGTAAACAACAATGCCAACTTCATCTATCAAAAGGTACCCACAAGAATGAAACGACACTATTGAATTGATGTTTAATAATTGTATGCCACAAAATCAGCCTTCTAAATCCTTTCACCATTTAATCATTTTAAATCTTGATAAATGAGAGAAAATGCACTTTTTAGTGTCTGATTCTTATCAATTCATTGGATACAGTAAGGATTCGATACAATAAGGGAAGACTATTAAATTGCATTATGAGGTGTATTAGGAGAAAGATTTGTTCTCAGAGAAGTTCATTACTTAGCTTCTCAACCACTGCGCCGCGGCACTTTTGTGTGCCGACAAATTCTTAAAGTGTGCCGCAAAATTTTAGAAATTATATAGTAAAAATTAAAATGCTCTTTTTAATTACGAGTAAAGTTTAAATTAAAAAAAGTATATGTGTGTATATATTCTATCTATATANTATATATATATATATATGTTATATTTGACAGTGATAGTCCTGTCTCTGACTGTGTTATAAATAAGTAGGAAATTTAATGACTATTGGAATTATTAATTGACGAGATAAAGAAAGCTAAATATTCACTTACCAAAGGA